CCCCCCCCCGGAAGGGGATCTCATATTTGCTTCGGTGAATACCCCATGGTAAGCATTCTGTATGATCAGTGCAAACAATACCGGTTGATCCTGCCAGAAATTCAAGAGCGTTCCTCAGTTATCTCCAAGAGCCCAGTTGGCCCTCCTGGTTCTGATCCGCAGAATGGTTTGTTGTCGTGTTGTGGAGAATGGGATCGGAAGAAGGCCGGAGTAGTTTATAAAATAAATGGGCAGGGCTGACACCATCACCAGCTCCTCCCAGAGGCGTGGTAAGCCGTCACCATGGCATTTGTACATTCCCTGCACATCACAGCCGCCTCCCAGTGCAGAGTAACAAGGCCTCGCTGTGCCCGCCCCCAACGGGAGGGAGGAGCTCAGAGTCTAAGCAGGGATAGGTCATAGGTCATGTTCTGCAGGGATGTGCTACATATGTTTTTATACCTTGGTATATGTTTTTGTCATACGGTATCTCCGTGATTGAAGCGTGCGCTGGATGAAGCGTGTTCTTTCTGGATAGTACCGGCTTCCTCTATGCACACGTATGTTCAGTGTTCTCCGGCCTGACTGACATCCTCCAATGCAGGAGGGGCCTGTAGGCTCCTCAGAGGTCAGTCCGGGGCCCGTTCACACTTCCTGGAGGACGACACGCATGGCCCTCAGTGTGATCTGGTCGGCCTCTCCGGGGTCATGTGACATTGGGGTTGGATTGGCTCCATTTGTAAACCATCTTCCACACCGAGGAGTCCAATCTCTATAGAGGAAGTTCCGGCCTGGTGAGCGCTGTTACCATGGAGACCAAACCCCTCCGATGATGACGATGTTTCGGCTCCTCGATTTGGGTTTTTATTTAGTTTTAGGTCAAATTTCTGCAGAAATAATGAACATTCCGCCGGGTTCACAAACTTCTCCACTGAACATGTTTCAGGACTTTGCAGTGAGTTGTATAATGATAATTGAAGGAACTCTCCTCCTCCTGAGGGTTGGTGTCCTCCGGGCTCCTCAGTGCCGGGCAATCTCCCGGGAGCCACATGGCTGCCACGGCAAACTCTCCCCCTACGTCCATGCGTGTGGAAGAGTCCCGTGGAGAGGATGTTACGTGTCCACAATAGATCATCGCGTCCCGGGAACGAGCGGAATGTTCTATGTACAGAGCTGAAGGGAGGCAGCTGGACGGGTCCTCGTGGGTGGCACAGTGCTGGTCACATGGGACTATGGTCGGGGAAGTGGGAGGGGCAGGTTTGGAGGGGGCGGGACTTGAAGCATATTCAGAGGGAAGTGTATTTCCACGTTTGCAGTCCCAGGATTCTCTCACCTTATGTTATAGTACCAGGGGGGTGGGGGGCAACCTCGGCTCTCCAGCGGTGCTGAAACTACAAATCCCATCATGCTTCTGCCTCTGGGAGTCATGCCTGTGGCTTGTGGGATTTGTAGTTTTCGGCACAGCTGGAGAGCCCAGGTTGCCCCCACCCCCCGCGTCGTACACCGGACCCTACAGGCAGCTTCCATTACTCAGCATGGAGGAGGGGCAATGTACCACCTGACCCTCGAGATCTTTAACCCTTCCGCTACTGATCCTGGAGAGCCGCAAGCAGAGCGCGCGCGCACACACCCGGGGCGAATTATGGCGAACACGACTCCCCAGCCCCCTCCTCAACACGCCATAGACGGGAAAGGTGAGCAGCCATTTGCAGTTCTGCTCTGTGAACAGGAAGAGGCGGAGTTATCTATATTGGAGGTTTTATCCCCATGGAAATACACTTTGTTGATCGTACGTTACAGGGCACGGGGGAGTTCACTCATAAACAGATGGGTTATGCAGCTGCCTTCAGGTGATAGGACACTGGCAAATCAAGGCTCCTCCCACTCCCAGCATGCCTAGCGCGGTCAGGGGGTGGACGCCGTCCCTCTGCTCCGAGGCAAGCCCCCTTTTCCTCCAGCAATGTTCTCTGTGCTGCTCACTGGAGAGAAGCTTCCGGATCCTCCGCAGACCAGATCCCGCCAGGAGGAAGATGGTGGGCCGGCCTTACCTTGGAATTATGGGCTGTCCCTCTCATAGACCCTCCTATTTCCCGTGAATTGCCCCCGTAGAGGATGTTTGAGGACCACGTAGACAAGCGGTTAGAAGTCTTCTAGAAGGGTTTGTGTCCTCGCCGGGCCCGCTGTACAACCGACTGTTGCCACCATGGCGGTGGCCGTGTAGTCCGTGGCGGTGGCCGTGTAGTCCGTGGCGGTGGCCGTGTAGTCCATGGCGGTGGCCGTGTAGTCCATGGCGGTGGCCGTGTAGTCCATGGCGGTGGCCGTGTAGTCCATGGCCCCGGGATCCAAGCTTCAGGGGCCAAAATCCTCTGCGACCTCCTTCGGTGGTGGTTCACCGGCCCCAAGACGGGGGATTCCGCCATCTTCTCAACGAGTCCAAAACCTCCGCATGGAATCTACTTGATCAATAGACTTCCTGGCATCTCCATTTCACCGTGAACACAACACGACTAGTGTGTGGCCCTTCACCAAAGCGCTGGCCCCTGGGGGGGTCTCTGCTTTGGTCTCAGGGGATCCCCATAGAGCGGCATGTGGACAACCTCCTGAGGGCCTCATCGTCCAACATTCATATCAACCCAACAGAGCTTCGGACGGGTGCCGGAACCCTACCATTGAAGGACCAGAACACAGCCCCGCCCAACCAGAAGCCCTGGTGGTCCTCCTTGCTGATGACTGGCCAAGGAGGCCATGACGCAGATGTAGTCAAACCCCCATCAGATTCTCCGGGGCTACTTCTGCATCGTTCAGGTCTCCTGCCCCCAGGACGGGTATTTCACCGCTGGCTTTGCCGGCTCTTGAAGGTCCAGAAAGACGGAGGCCACATGGAGACGCTCTTGAAGGATGAAACCTCCCGAAAGGTCAACCATTGCACCCAGAAGGCAGAGCAAGGACGTTTCATCCCAGGAAGTACTTTGTGGGGCCACATCCTGTCTGGTCCAGACCCGGATACTACAAAGGGGCAAATTTCCGCTTTCCTCTCGCTCTCTGGTGAAGGCTTCTCTGTAGAGGTTCCCCTCCCCCCCTAGCATTGTCCCCTCCCCCCCTACTCCGGCCTATGAAGGGTAAAGTTCCCCC